AGGGTACTCCGCCTTAAACAAGGCAAGCCTTTCTTCTGATGTAGCTATTGACTCTGTGCAAAAATATTCCAGATTTCAGTTACCTTAAAAAAACAAAACAAATTGAAACCAGCTTACTCAACTTGTCTTGAATTATATTGAAATAAATTATATTCATATAACATGAAGGCCTATTATTCTACTTATTTTAAGCTCCGTTTTGAATAACTAACTCATTTTGACACACGTTTTAAACAACATCAGCTTTAGTGCTTGTATACAAATAATGCCGCTTTTTATGTTTTCTGAAGATGCTGCAATAATGTATTACATCAAACGAACGGTGGTTAAAATACACGCACTCTACATTTCGATGAGGTTAATAAAACCACTTTATTATATGAGCCGCGTCACGACAAAACCAACATAGTGGGTTTGCGACCAGCATCCGCGCAGACTGATCAGGATCCATGCTGTTCGCTGTCAGTTTCTCCACTTGTAATATAGTTGGTTAGCGAACAGCATGGATCCTAATCAGACTGCGCGGATGCGCAGGCTGGTCTGGATCCATGCTGGTCGCAAATCCACTATGTTTGTTTTGTCGTGACGCGGCTCATATACTTATACATAAAATATTGAGAAATATTGATGAAATAAAAAGTTATTTTTCCATATTCCGTATTTTCACAGTAAAAAAATATTTTTCACTGTAGTGAAACATATTTTCCGTATTTTCACTTGTGTCTTGCCGGACTTCATCTTCCAAATTTAGCCAATATACCAAATTCAAGTTATGAAATGTCAAAAAGAGAAAAATTTATATAAAAACAGACAATTCAAGTGTTTTTATCTAAATGCAGATTTTCTTGTCGTCTTCATGTATGAAATATTTATTTTCATATCACTCAATGAAAATAAATCCTGTATTTATTGAAAAACTTGAATATCCTCTATAAACCATACACAAAAGAGGCAAATATTGAGCTATGTTAAATATAGTATAATTGGTTAAATGAATGTGAACTTATTTATTTATTTATTTATTTATTTATTATTAATTTATCTATTTATTTGAGATTGAGATTTGTCAAATAAGAATTCACTGCTAATTTTAAAAAAAATCAGAATCTACGATGCACACTCGATGAAAGAGAAAATGAATAATTAGATTTAACATCAAATAAAAAATATAACTAACCTTGAAAATATAAAAGTACTCTTATCAGTGCATAAATTATATACATCACTGAAAAACGTAAAAAAATATTTCAAGGTATTAAGCAGACGCGTTTTTATTCATTTAAGCAGACGCGCTTTTAGTCATTGATATTTATTGAAGCATGAACTGTCGCGGTAACTAAGTTAAAATATCCACTTAGCGTGTATCAAATCATGTTATAAATTGGTAAACATTTTTTAGGCTCATATTTGAAATAATTAAATGCGGCTTTCATAACAAATGAACCCTAGCCCGGCTGAAACCGGAAGTGAAAACCTTTACAACCCGCATAGGGCCAAACCTGGGCAGGGGCTTTGGTCCCCGCCAACCGGGCCCCGGGTACTGTTTTGGGACTTGGTAGGCATTTTATACATATATTTTTGGGACTGGGGATCCCTTAAACCCCTTTAATGAAATTTTAAAAAAATTTTAAACGGTAACTTTAAAACGTTATGGGTTATTTAGACACACACTTCCACATAAAAATTTTTGAATAGAGCCCGATCCCAAAGACAGACGCTCTTTGTCGTATCAGGAAACTTTCCCAATCGTTTATTGGGAAAAAAACCCGCCCCTTACCGTTTTAAAATGCATGGGAAAAATCCAAACTTACAAAACCTATTTCAAACATCAAGCCCGGGTGGCAAAACCGAAAAGTCCCAAAACCCAATTTTTTTTGTATGCCCTGTTTGTGACCCGTAAATACGTTAAACGTAAATAATAAAAATTATGTATATATTTTGATGTTTAAATTAAAAAGTAAATTTTATTAAACAAAAAATTAAAAAAATTTCATTTAATCATACATACGTTTATTCTCCGAAATCCTCAATATTTATTAATGTTGACAGCCAAATATCTGTCACTAAAAATTTACATCCCGTTCAGAAAAAGGTACAAACACCAAACACGACAATTTCGTTATACAGGTAATTCTTTAAAGCAATCAACGTACAGCTAGGCTAGCTGTAGTGTTTAATATAGTTCACGGTTTACATACATTTACATATCATTAATCTATTAAGTTGGTTTACCACGTGAAAAAAATAATTATTTGTAAATATTGTCTTGTCTTCTATGTTTAATTTCTCACAACTGTCAATATATTAAATGTTATTTTATACCATTTTAAGTATAAAGTTAAACATAAAATTTTGCGAAGGTATATTTTGTAAACAAAGCATGCTCTATTTGACAAGAAGATTTGTTTACAAATACATAAAAAAGTAGGTCAATGTATTTTGGACAAAGACCGGTTATGAAAAGCCATGGCAGTATGTAAAAATGTTGTTGAATCTACACCCCACTAATTTTTGAAATGGACTTGAAGTACTTTATATGTGGAATGTCTAATGAACACATCTATTGATGTTTCTAAAATCATTTTTTATCATCCCAGGTTAAATGTTTGATATTCTGCTTTATCACATAAGCCGCGGCGCAGGAGTGTAATAAAGCCATTTAATAAAAACGATATTACACTAGTGTAATAACACTCTGACGTGACGTCATTTGCGCTATATAGAAACATAGCGTTAAAGCGCGCTAATGTTAGCGATACACTATGGGCGCGTCATTGAAAAATTACTCATTTTCACAGTTTACTGTTCTTAGTTTATATATGTGATAAAAAGAATATTATATTCGTGTAGATTCAATACTGAATTTATTGAACTCGTTGAATAAAACAATATTATGCTCGCCAGAGGCTCGCATAATATGATTTTATTCAACTCGTTCAATAAATTTAGTATTAAACTACACTCATTCAATATCCTCTATTTAACCGGTGCTAGGGAGCATGAGCGGCCGCATGTACTTTTCTGTACTGTCCACGAACATGTTAAATTAAAAAAAGTCTTTAATATTTTCAATTTTTCCGTTTTAAGCGTTTTAGGGAGAAAATCCCTTTTTTCTATCATATAATATTAGGGATATATCGACAAATGTGCTGGAGCAATGTACAATGCTTTTATCTGACCTTACATTGGCCTGTCAATGTACTGGTAACCAGGGAAACCATTAGCATTATAATCATTCAAAAATATTTCAGTCTTATTTGTGGAACGAGATTTATACACTAGAACCATCGGTCAGTAAACTTTATGACGGCTTGTTTAACAAGTTCGAGTTTAATTATCAAGATTTGAACCACGAATGTCCGACACTTTAACTTGAGAATATCCATACGATTACTCTTACCATTACACTGTATATATTATTTAATCAGAAGCAAATCAACTGTGTTAGTTAAAAGCTTGTTAAATTATAAAAAAAAATGATGTTATGTTTAGTAAATGTTATTAATCTGGAACAGAACAGAAAGTTATTCGTCTGTCTCGAACATTTATAGTTCATAGTTACATACAAAAACATTTCCTTATACATGGGCTAATGGGACACTCATACGTAAAACCAGGGTCTTTCTATTTGAAAGACCTTGGCAAAATATAGATTCAAATATTATTACATTGGACTCGAATCAAATTTCTTCTTTCTTTCCTTTAAATTAAAAAAAATATCCGTATAATAAACATTTACTATTGTATGAATTTAAGTGCATTTTAAATGGTCTAGTGCGTTCTTTCGACAATTGCATGCGCTTTTATAATAATTTGTAACGGTCTTCGAATGAATGACTCTTTGTATATTTAAGCAATTGTGTAAATTTGTTTTAGCGTGTCTGTGTATAAAAGTAATAGAAAGAGCATATCTGATTTTGTATGAGGGACGTGTTTTGGTGGGTTTTTTTCTCCTTTGTATCATAGGCAAAAATGAAAACACTTTCCTAGTAGTCACAATATGAAATCCAAGAAAAAAAGTAATCAGTCTACGAACATCTGTATATGGATTTCGTCACAATAAGTAAACTGCGGAAAAAATGTTGCCAATCAACGAGCATGCTTTATTTGTATGATAGTTTGGGGACCTTTCTGTTGTGGAGTGCAGGTATAAGTTACCCGCACTCCAGTTTCCACACTGTCTGTCGGGATATTTAATAGAATCTGATTTGTACACGGGGACATAGCTCCCGAGTATTACTAGTATTCAGATTGCCGAGAGTGTTTTGATATTCTTATTTTTTTAAATCATAGGCAAAAATAAAAAGACGTTGTCACAAAATGAACCCACTGAAACCTACCAGTTTAATGTTCGCGCATGCGTCAATTGTTTTTTCTTTGTTTTATTGTTTGTTTTTATTTGTTTGGGTGGCCACGAAATACTAAATTTACCAGAGCACAGTTCTGCCGCCACATCGTTTCTGGGCAGATTGTCCAGCAGTTTACCAATACAAATTGTCTTCATATTCTAAGGACTGATTACTTCAGTACATGCAAGAGCAGAGGTACAGTGCGAATGACCGTAGAAAGGATTTCATGATCAAGCACAACGAAAATATCTTGTACCGTCCAGGAATCGAACCAAAGTCGCCCGGTTCAGTCAAACGCTCCACCTATTGAGCTAACCGACCGGACGGCGTGTCATTAGCATGTACAATACAGTAGTTATTAAGTGTGTAACATTTTAAGTCAATGGTACCAGTTGCATTTAAGATATTGCCAAATTGCTATCCTATTCTCAAAGTGCTAAAACGGAAATAAGAGGGGCACAATTTTGTTATATGCCTTGAGATACTGTACTTTGTTTAAAGAAATGACAATAGTACAAAACCAATAGCCAAACATAACCTTTTCAATGTGCTGAACAGGAAAATAGGTCTGGTAACATTTAAGGTACGCAACTGTCATTTTGACATAAATATATGGAAAATAGGTGTAAACAGTGGAATAATAAAAGCAAATAACATTGTGTCAACACTAATTTATTGATTTATTATAGATACTTATCTTAAAACAATCATTATGCAAACATACAAAATCATATGTTTTTATACATAATAATTATGATGATAATAAAATACAGTTAATCTTGGATAAATTATGTCCAGGAAAACACTTATCATTTTTTTTACTCCAGCAACAAAAATTCAATAATTAATTTCCAACCCGAGCTAACGACTCAAGAGGAAAGTACCTTCGCTCAGCAGATAGTACAATTGTTAACTGTTTTTGTACAGTACAACTGTTAACTGTTATGAACAGTACAAATAATAACCTTTTTGTACAATACTGTCCAAGAATCATATTTGTTTCCAGTCTTTCCGAAAACTTTAATTTCAATCATTTGGAAAACAATGTTGTACTTTAAGGTCTGGTAGACAACATGATCCTTTTTCCAACCGTTTATGTTAAAAGAACAAAAGAAAAGTATTCTTGTTTAGTTATATCAAAGTCAATTGTTAATTACCAGATGTTGTTAAAATGATAGTTTCAGTTTGCTGGATCTTTCATTTAGCAGAACAAAACGACTCTAGCTATTTGTTGTAAACAAATCTCCAATGACATTTCCTAATAAGCTTCATTAAACTGGCCAGTGGTAAAACAAGCTATGTCGGCTGGAGGTTGTTCTTATCATTATTTAGAGTATGACAAACAAATTACAGGCTGTCCAGGACCTTCTGACAAAAAATTAGGGCAAATTTTAGGGCAATTTTTAAGAAATTTTAGGGCTAAAATTTAGGAATTTTAGGGTAAATGAAAGAAACTTTAGGGCTCAAATTTGGAATTTTATACTAAATTATGGCCTCAAAAGACCATGATATGGGCTCAATTTTGCATATTTGACACAAAAGTAACTCACAAATAATGCTCTAGTTCGGTTATAGCAAAGGTGTTACCAGTGTTCCATAGTCACCAGTGAATAAATTGATTCACTGGTCAACTGCCTTTAAAAAGAGCTGAAAAACTACATTAAAACATAACTAGAATGAAAAAATTTTCAAAGTTATAAGAATCCAGGAACAACCAATATTCAATTAGTTAAGCTATGATTAGCCAATAAAAATGCAACTTCCTTGGAAACTTTTTATCACAATTTTAAACAGGTGACTATTTTGATATAGTCAAAGTGGTACAATTTTCATTGTTCCATTTAAAACTAACAGTTTCTTATATTTTTCTGATAACATCTGACAATTAATCAAGTAAAGATATAATAAGCCCATAATAAATGGAAGAGGAAGTTATGCTTTAAATTTATTTTAGCTATAAATGCATTTCTTATTTGGTACATTTAAAACAAGTCTTGATCTTTCTTAAAAAACAATAAAAATGATATGACCCACTAGAGTCATTCCCAGGCATATTTAAACTTAAATTCAAACAGCAGGATATACACCTATGAAGAATTTGTTCAAGATAAATCAGGCTACTAAAAATTGTAGAAAATTTCATTGTTCAAGATAAATCAGGCTACTAAAAATTGTAGAAAATTTCATTGTTCAAGATAAATCAGGCTACTAAAAATTGTAGAAAATTTCACAACAGTGTCAGTTTTTTCAATGACTTTCAACAGTTTTTTTTTCCAGATTTTAAAAAAACTTACACTACATGTATATAACATATGTTCAATACATGTTAATGTGTACAAAAAGGGCAGCTGAAGGTGTCACTTCTGAGTATGCTAATTGGGTAGCAAAATGGTTAAAGCATTCAATCATTACTGCCAGTTTACCTTACCCATTTTATAATTACCATAGCAAATATGGAAACTTGTCTAGATCTGCCAGCTGGTATCACTTACATAAGATCTGTTCTACAGTCATCACTTGAAAATAACTTGATTACAAATTAAGACGTTATTAATAAGGACCCCTGCATAAAGTCTGGTGAAATTTAGTGGTGATTTGTGTAAATAGTTGCTTTAAATACACCTAAGACTGAGGTAAATGGTAAAACTCTGTAGCCAATAAAAATATGACTTCCTTGGAAATTTTTTATCACAATTTTAAACAAGTGACTATTTTGATATAGTCAAAGTGGTACAATTTTCATTGTTCCATTTAAAACAAACAGTTTCTTATTATTTTTCTGATAACATCTGACATCAAGTATGGCATTTCTGCAGGAATTGAAGTACAAATGTATATGCAACATGTGACTTATGCAATTTAGTCAGACATGATATCAACTCCACTGACTGCGTTTGAATTTAGGTTGTAGGTTTAGGTTTAGATTGAAACATGGTTGTTTCTGGATATGTTTATCACAAAGGATAAAAAAAATAGGAATTTAAGTGAAAAAATAGGGCATTTTTAGGAATTCCCTTTGAATTTTTCATTTTTTTAGGAATTTTAGCCAAACTGAAAAAAAATAGGATTTTTTAGGAATTTTAGGGACGCTGGACAGCCTGAAATTATATTGTTTTATCAGCATTTAAGAAAAAATATTACACATTTAAGGAGAACTATTAGAGAAAAGTTTATATTATATATTCTTTCTCGTGGTAAAACGTACGGTCTAAATATAACAAGCGATTGAAAGTTTAAACATATTTTATATAATGTTAAGCAGACCAAAACAACTAATTTCATATGGTCCATTCAAAGATTGTTCTTACTGAGTTCCATTAGGTTCTGCCAACTAGGTTTGAGCGCAGGTTAAGGTGTAAAACTTTAAATCAGTTTTCTTGTTGCATGGTAAAAAAAACTAGCTATGAATAAAGAAGCATATAAAGTGATGATTCTATATAGTTTGGTTATAAGTGTCAATAAGGCTGTTTGAAAACCTTAAAATAAAATGACCCTACAGCTCCCATGACACCTGAATATGCTTTTCAGTCTTTTCTTTAAAACAGTGTACTTTGTCTTAACAACTTCATTGCATATCATAATTATATGTTTCGGGGGAAAATAACATCATATATTAGTTACTACAAATTTCAAATGGTCAATCATAGCATCAATTCTCCTTATCATTTACATGAACTTTCAAGGTAAAATCTGTACAGTAAATAATAAAGACAAATGCAAATCCTAAAGTAAATCATGTACACAAATATAGAAATCATATTCATGTAGTAAAACTTATAATAAACACACATATAACTATTATAGATAGTAGCATACAAATACAAAACTGAGAGTAAATCATGTACATAATATATAAGTGTTAAAGTAAAATTATGTACACAAATACAAATCTTATACAATGTAGCAGATAATATGTAGTAACTCAAATACAAATCTTAAAGAAAATCAAGCAAACAACTACACATCTTCTAAAAATCCTGTACACAATACAAATCTTATACAATGTAGCAGATAATATGTAGCAACTCAAATACAAATTTTGAAGAAAATCAAGCAAACAACTACACATCTTCTATAAATCCTGTACACAAATACAAATCTTATACAATGTAGCAGATAAAATGTACACAAATACAAATATTGTTGAAAATTATGTACACAAATACAAATCTTATACAATGTAGCAGATAATATGTAGTAACTCAAATACAAATCTTAAAGAAAATCAAGCAAATAACTAGACATCTTCTATAAATCATGTACACAATACAAATCTTATACAATGTTGCAGATAATATGTACACAAATACAAATATTGTTGAAAATTATGTACACAAATACAAATCTTATACAATGTAGCAGATAATATGAAGTAACTCAAATACAAATCTTAAAGAAAATCAAGCAAACAACTACACATCTTCTATAAATCCTGTACACAATACAAATCTTATACAATGTAGCAGATAATATGTACACAAATACAAATATTGTTGAAAATTATGTACACAAATACAAATCTTCTACAATGTAGCAGATAATATGTAGTAACTCAAATACAAATCTTAAAGAAAATCAAGCAAACAACTACACATCTTCTATAAATCATGTACACAATACAAATCTTATACAATGTAGCAGATAATATGTACACAAATACAAATATTGTTGAAAATTATGTACACAAATACAAATCTTATACAAAGTAGCAGATAATATGTAGTAACTAAAATACAAATCTTAAAGAAAATCAAGCAAACAACTACACATCTTCTATAAATCCTGTACACAAATACAAATCTTATACAATGTAGCAGATAATATGTACACAAATACAAATATTGTTGATAATTATGTACACAAATACAAATCTTATACAATGTAGCAGATAATATGTAGTAACTTAAATACAAATCTTAAAGAAAATCAAGCAAACAACTACACATCTTCCATAAATCATGTACACAAATACAAATCTTATACAATGTAGCAGATAATATGAAGTAACTCAAATACAAATCTTAAAGAAAATCAAGCAAACAACTACACATCTTCTATAAATCATGCACACAATACAAATCTTATACAATGTAGCAGATCAAATGTAGTTACTCAAATACAAATCTTAAAGAAAATCAAGCAAACAACTACACATCTTCTATAAATCATGTACACAATACAAATCTTATACAATGTAGCAGATAATATGTACACAAATACAAATATTGTTGAAAATTATGTACACAATACAAATATTACATTTATCTATGTACACTAATACAAATATTGCATTAAACTATGCCTACAAATATAAATCTTGTAATAAATCATGTATCAAATGCAAATCTTATACAATATTAGAGCTAAAACATATCATTGACATGACATGGTGACAGTACGTTTCTAAGGAATTAGTTTTCAAAAATTCATTTTTCATTTTTGTCATTATATGATTTATGCATAAGACTAGATCTGTGCTAATAATTTGTTTAAGGCCACCTTAAGATTTTTTTCGTGAGACTTTTTGTTAAAATCAACTTTTTTGTTGAAGAGGTGATGTTGTTTAAAGAGCAACAACAAATAAAAGTGCCAAAACCAAATAAAAGTGCCAATAAAAGTACCAACAATAAAACTGTCCTCTGTTTAGATAAAGATATGGTTTCATGTGTCATAGTGTGTCATAGTGGAATGTTTTAGCGCTTGTCACGTTTTCATTCATTTTAGGATTTTTTAAAAAGACAAATGCAGAACTGAACCACATGCATGAGCATTACTTTTGTATAGGTCTAGTAGACAGTACAAGCCTTGTACCTTGCAAGTCATAAAAATGAACTATAAATGTGTTGTAACGCCACGAATGCCCCCACATGCAGCCAGATTTTCAAATGTTATAATAATATTTTTTTTCAAATTTGTTTGCAAAACCATTTTATTTCATTCTTAGTTCTATTCAATGTCAACACAAACCCTTTTATACACAGTTCTATTAAGTGTTAATCTACCTTTTGCAAATTACATATTGCATATTTGTAGCAGAGATAATGATAAGATATTGTGATTTTTTCAAGTTCAAGGGGTGCTACTGTCAAAAACACCGTACCATGACCAAATCATAATTTGGCTTGTATTTTCTGGTAAAATACCAGTGTAACGATGTTGGTAGAACGTCATAATGAGCATGATAATATGCAAATACTTAAGTTGTTGAATGGTGGCCAGTGCGGGGGAATGTAGACAACTGCCAGACCGGAGTTGCCCTACCCACAGATTTCCCAGGCCAAGTCTCGGGACGAGACTTCTCGGAGGGGAAAGTAATGTAACGACGTTGGTAGAACGTCATAATGAGCATGATAATATGCAAATACTTAAGTTGTTGAATTAATAGAAGGGAATAGTTCCCGTATATAAGGACACAAACCACTCTCGGTGGTGAGCTAGCTTTTCACCGACAGGGTTTGTGTGCCTTAAAAACGTTACACCAGCACATGCAATGTCAACCTCAGACATGCATTCTACAAACGTTAGAGCATTTAAACGGAAAATTTCTTTTTCTTTCTTAGTTCAGAAATGCGATTTCAACATTATACATACATAACTTAAAAATGTTTTTTCCAACTTTCAAGAGGGATATTGACCAAAATCATGGAACTATGACCAAATACAGACTTGACCTGCTTATTCCTGTGATTATCTGTAAGTCAAATTTGAGTTGAATGTGACCAACTGTTTGGGAAAATTAATGAACAGAAATTGACAACTTCTTTTTTCCCCAAAAAGTTCAAGGGGCATAACTCTGTCAAAAACTATCGAACCAAATACGAAATTGACCTGAGTATACTTATATCATGTCAATATGTTAAATTTGGGTTCAATGTGTACATAATAAACAAAAACTGAAAAGTTAAAGTGGCATATCTCTGCCAAAAATCATTCAACCGTAATAAACAGTGAAACAAGCAAAATTGTGACATTTGACCTTAAAGGTCAAGGTCATTTATGAACGAAGGTTAGGCTAGTCTACTGAAAGGTTTTGTATGAGTGGTTGTTGTGGCCAAGTATGAAGACTGACAATACACTAAGAACTTAAAAAGTTCTGATCAAGGTACAAGTTTTTGGACGGCAACGCCAACATGACTGTAACAGTTCCTCCTTTTTCTAAAAAAAAAGTTGAGTTAAAACATATAAGAAAACAATACTTTTGTAATTTTGAATAGAAACACAACATGATAAGCTGTTGTATAATACTAGTCACATAAAAAAAACTTCAACATATAAATGAAAATTAATCTTAATTCACTTTGACAAAATATTTTTATATACATGTATTTAAGCTATTTGTAATTATAACACTGATTTTTTTCCATTAACAACTGATAAGCATTAACTATGATTTCAAAGATAACACAAAAATATAACTTTTCACATTTAAGTGGACATTCATGTACATTTTTTAAATGACAGTGACATAATTTTTTTAATTGTCAATTTGAGCTGAAATGACCGTATATTTTTAAAATAAAACTTACTCAATAACTCACTACATACACTCGGTTGGGCAAAATGGTTTTTTTTTAACAATCTAACTTAAAACTATTTTTTGTACAAATATTGACTAGCAGTTCTATATAACATAAATGTATATTTACATATTATACATGAATATAAATAATGCACATACTATACAGTAAAAAATCTATACAAATATATATGTATACATTCACTAAATAAATTTCATGCCTTGAATTGTCTGAGTTGTATATCCATGTTTTAAACAATACAATGACTGCAACTCTCTGGCAATAACTAAGTGTCAGGTACTCATTTAGTTTAACTATTAACTAATCAACTCATAATTGGCTGGAGTCCTAAGTTTGGAAGAGTTATGTTGATATATGCTGTTATATATTTTATAAATAGGCGTATCTTTAAACAGTTGCTGGACGTCATTACACTAGGTGACTTCAGTATTTGTAATTTCATGCAAAATTTCTCCATACATGTACTGTTCATGAATCCGAGGTGACACATTATGTTAGTTTAGGACCCATTTTGTAGTCTATGAATTGTTCATATCATAATTACAGAAAATTCCACATGAATGTCAGTTCTTGGATTAATTGAAGTCTCTTGTGAACCTGCCCATTTCTTGGAAGAAGGAATACACATAATGCTGAAAATACAAAACAAATCAAAGTTTTAAAATAACAATCTTACAATAACCAATGTCAGAAGCATTTTGAGTTGACATACTTATTATCAGGTCTCTCACATATATTTAGAAAGTTGTAAGACATTATAATGCTCTAAAACATGTTTATATTCTGTGAATTTGGTAAAGATTTCGTAGCTTATTTTTGTTATTTTTGTGCAAATAGTTTCTGTAATGTCACATTGAAAGAACAGAGTTTCTTTTTTTCAATTCCATGTACATATGTTTATAAATAGATAAAATAAGAACCCCTAAAGAAAGTCCAACACGGCATAATTGAAAATGTGTCAGGCTCGGTTTGATTGAGCCTGTTCATGGACGGTACTGTAAAGTGCAAACTACCGTCCACACCCCTAGCAGCGGCTTAAGCAGAATGAAACATTTAACATGAAATAGTACAATTTTGAGTTTGTGATATCAAAATTTTCATCATTCAGAGAAAATCTATTACAGCAGTATCTAGGGAGAATTGTGACAAGTTTTGAAAAGTCCAAATTTTATATTAGCCATATTACATGAAAAACAAGAGGGCCACGATGGCCCTAATATCGCTCACCTGAAAATTAATATTTTTATTGACAACAAACAAGTAGTATTGTAATCTAGAAATAAAGCAAATATATATTGAATCTAAACTTGAAGTGATATCACAAAGTTCATATTTATATCTGAAATAGTGCATCATCATCACAGTGTAAAAACAATACTGGTTGCCACTACTAAGGGACAACAATCACTGGTTGCTATGAGAAGTCAGTGCTTGGGAGAGGTCTATCAGATGTACTGCGAATTCACTTATATTCGTGGGCATGAAATTTCGTGGTTTTATCAAAACGGGCATTTTTGTGGGTTCTTAAATTCTTGGATTTATGATTTTTTGTATCATGCCAGAAACCATATCTATATTACCCCATGTTGGCCTACTTTGACTCCATACCTATAATTTGATTATTTGTTGTTGAGACATTATACAAATACAATAATGTACCCCTTAAATTTTAATAACAAAATTTGTGAGATAAATTGTAAATTACACTTTTTAATATGCATGATATTGTATTTTCTATCATCTGTAAATGAGTACATCTTGATGTGTGGAGCTTTAATTGTTAATTATTAAGTAGTGTGTCATGTAATAGCAGTATTGAGATACTGTACTTATAGTTACCTCCCTTTGACTAGAGATTTCCATTATGACTGCATATGAACTTTGGTGATTTTGCTTAATTTTATTGTGTGAGATGTTTTTTTATTACATTTTGTTGGAAAACAAGAGCTGTTGATAGATATGATATTCGAAATATTCAATTAGGTTTCAAAAATCCTTATATTTTGTTGTTTTTTGTTCATAATTTATTGTTATACCTATTGTGATATAGGCTTTACAGGGGCAGCAATTTTACAGCTTTTTTGTTATTTTGTGAAATTTGATAGGTTTTTACCTGTCAAGTATAGATAGATGTTTACTATAAGAATTGTTTTAAATACATTGAGTGGTCAAGTAATATTTGATTCAAGGTGGTAATTGAATACAAATAGCTCATTTCTATGGCATTTAACTTTCTTTTCTGATTAGTGTGTGTAGGAAAAAATGTCACTTCTTCTGTATTATTTGGTGGAATTTGATGATTATTTTACTAAAATGTAGCAAATATATGAAGGGTTATATTTATGTATTGATATTGAATTAAATTTGCTAATTCATGTGTTACCAAAACATTAACAATAGCTGATTTTTTTAATTAAGTGAATTATGGAGTAGATTAAATTGAATGATTATAGAACAATACCATAGAACTACAGCATTTGATAGGTATATTAGGAAAATTGATGTATCATTTTTATTTTCTTAGGGATTTTAATGAGGTATTTGTCTTTAAGATGATAAAGGTTAGTTAGTTAGACTAAAGTATTACTTTATGTAGGTATTCTTATTTAAATCAAAGCAAAAGAAATTTTGTAACACTGGGTTTATTCTGTTAATAATATATAGAGGAAGTTGGCAGTACTTAGGTACATTTTAGATATTTAATGAAGTATGATGGGTTTGTTTTCAGATATTATTGGGAATAGATTATCCTACCCTAATGTTATGGAGTTTCTAATGATTCATATAATTTGGTATTGTCTGATAATAGTAAGTGCACCAAAAGCTTGCAAGCTGGGGTGTACCATCCTTAAATTAATAATTAATAGTTTTAAGTTGATTTCTGTATAATATCAATGTTTTTATAGTTAAAGACATATCTGGTGTCATTAATCATACGGTAATTTAGTATAGAGGTAATCACATATACCAGATCGTATGAGAGTGCTATAAATAGAGGGATAATTAATTAATTGAATTTGATCTGTTACTTTGCATTCTAAAATAAACATTTTCCAAGTCTATTTATTTAAAAGCGAGTTTACAATACATGACCGACTAAATCCAAGATCTGCTGTCTGAATCCTAGATATCAATTTGCTTTTTCTTTGGCATTCAAATTTAGAGTCAATATTACCTCACTCTGCACTGACAACACCTTAAATGTACTGGCCTAAGATTTAAGGAATAAGGTTTGTCAGGGCTTATGATCTAATCTACTGTGGTGATTGTAGAGTTATGGGAGTAATGTGTAGGCGGAACAGCCACAACCAAAGTTTAAGTGTGTTAACTTTTTGGGCTGCCATCAACTCAAGTCTGCCATTTCTTAATTATTTGGGTGTGTGTTATAGAATATACCTCAGTCGGTGATTAAATAAACTTCGCTTTGAGTTAAAGTCTCGACTGACTAAGACCGCCACTCAGCATAATGCATATATTTTACAGGCCACTGTCCTTTGCCAGTAGGTCAGTACTGGCTCAAGAAGGGAGGTCGGCGGGTCCTTAATCTTGGATTTAGCAAAGCAGCATGCTCCAAAATTTGTACTTTCCAGACTTCAATTAAGGTGTCATTAATGGTGGAACAAATATGATAGATGGGGGTATAAAGACCCAGACACTCCCAGCAAATTAAAAGTTCCATAAATTTGATTGTATTTTCATACTTGACCTGTATATGATTTACTTGACCTCTTACGCTTGGGATGTGTATAGATTTACTGACAACACGAGAGGGATTAATATAGTGACACATTTAATATTTGTACATATTTTCCAAAAACCGTCCTGACCTTTACGTTTGTAATTTTGCTTTAAGCAAAATTTATCAACACTGCTTTATAAATATTACAGGGATTGTTAAATGACCCTTTTTTTACAATTATGTTACTTGAGTTTAAGTAAATTGTACCATACATCTCCGAAGCCTGTGAAATATTGAACCCTGTTTAGTATTACAAAGTAACATGAACCATTTAATTTAAAATACTGAATTAACATGTCTTCTGTTTATCACTAATTAAGTCAATAAAGAAAACAGAAACAGAGCATTTAACTTGTTTCTAGTAATTTTATTACAGCTGTATTTGCGGTTCCTTAAAATACAAGAGTCAGATTACTGTAAAAGGGGTCAATTTCCATTAAAGAAATATCGTAAATCTATAAAATTATGAATATAAGGATTTATAACACAAACTAAGGATCATTCCATTGAAGTTCAGTTCAAATCCATCAAGGTGATTCTCGTTTAAAGCAAAAGTGGACAACAAGACACTAGTATGCCAAAAGCTCACCACTGAGCAGAGTGCCCAAGACAAGTGTGCTAAAATATAGATATAGTATTAATGTTAAATTTTTGTTTAATGTTATTGTAATTAAACTTTTATGTAAATTCTAAGTAGAACTAGAAATGTGTCCATAGGACACAGGTGCCCCCCCCCCCACACGCTACTGTTATGTCAATCTTATGACTCTAGGTCAAATATTTTTTGGACGACATGTGCCACAAGTTGAAAACTAAAAACCTTTTACTAAGTAAAAGGCAAGAACTTAACAAATACTGAAAAAATCCACAAGCAAACCCCAAGGTGCACAAGTACACATGCTGACCAACATTCTTGTAAACTTTCAGGCCTACAAGTCAAATACTTTTAGAACTATGCATGAACAAGTTGAAAAATTGCAAATTTATACTACTGTAAGTCAAGGGCAATTACTCTAACAAAACTGAAAAAATCCACATGCAAAGTACCAGGTGCATAGCTTCACCGTGATGTTGATCATTATTCCTGTAATTTAGTGATGATGATCATTATTCCTGTAAAGTTGGTTGATTCTAACTCAAACACTCAAGGAAAAAATAACACAACATAATGAAATGGATTTTCCTAAATCAAGGGCAATAACTATAAATACTGGATAAATCCACAAGCAAAACCCAAGGTGCACAACTACATATGCTGAGCAACATTCCCGTAAGGTTTCATGACTCTTTGTCAAATCCTTTTTGAGTTACATGCGACACAAATTGAACATTGCAAATTTAAACCAAGTCAAGGGCAATAACTCTTAAAATACTAAATAAATCCAGACGAAAATACCAAGGTGCATAACTACACATGCTGATCAACATTCCTGTAAAGTGTCATGATTCTAGGTCAAATCCTTTTTTCAGAGTTACAAGTGACACAAGTTTAAAATTGCAAATTTTTACCAAGTCAAGGGCAATAACTCTTAAAATACTGAATAAATCCACGCAAAAATACCCAGGTGCACAACTGCACATGCTGATCAACATTCCTGTTAAAATCATGACTCTAGGTCAAATACTTTTGAGTTACATGCGACAAAAAAGAGAACGGACGGACGGATAGACAAAAAGACGGATGGACGGACAAGGGTAAATCTAAATGACCCCCCTAAATTCGGGGCACAAAAAGGCGCATAATTCTTTCAAAATGTTTGACAGAGTCACTTCCTCCTGTGTACAAGTTGGGAGAATGATGGTTAAAACAAGTGTGCAAAGTTTTAAAGACATATGTCAATGGACTTTGAAAATATTTAAGGTGGTACGCAAACTTTGATGTAAATTCTAAGTCTAAAAGGGGGCATAATTCTGTCAAAAAGCTTGATTGAGTTACCTCCTCTAGTGTACATATTGGGGGCTTAATTGTGAACAAGTGTGCAAAATTTCAAAGCTATTTGTCAATGAACTTTGACAATATTTGAGGTGTACACAAACATTTATGTAATTTCTAATTAGAAAAATGGGCATTATTCTGTCAAAATGCTTGACAGAGTGACTACCTCCTGTTTACAGATTGGGGGCATGATGGTTAACAAGTGTGCAAAGTTTCAAAGCCATATGTCAATGGACTATGAAAATATTTGAGGTGGTATGCAAACTTTAATGTACATTTTAAGTCGAAAAGGGGGCATAATTCTATAAAAAAAAGCTTGATAGAGTTACCTCCTCTGGTGTACAGATTGGGGGCTTGATTGTGAACACGTGTGCAAAGTTTCGAAGCCATATGTCAATGGACTTTGAAAATATTTGAGGTGGTATGCAAACTTTAATGTAAATTTTAAGTCGAAAAAGGGGGCATAATTCTATCAAAAAGCTTGATAGAGTTACCTCCTCTGGTGTACAGATTGGGGGCTTGATTGTGAACACGTGTGCAAAGTTTCGAAGCCATATATGTCAATGGACTTTGAAAATATTTGAGGTGGTACGCAAACATGAACGTAAATTCTAAGTAGAAAAGGGAGCATATTTTTGCCAAACTACTTGATAGAGCTACCTCCTCTTATTTACAGGTTGGGGCAGAATGGTGAACACGTGTGCAAACTTTAGCATAAGTGGTTATGCCGACGCAGAATGGTGAACACGTGTGCAAACTTTAGCATTTATAAGTGGTTATGCCGACGCAGAATGGTGAACACGTGTGCAAACTTTAGCATTTATAAGTGGTTATGCCGACGCAGAATGGTGAACACGTGTGCAAACTTTAGCATTTATAAGTGGTTATGCCGACGCAGAATGGTGAACACGTGTGCAAACTTTAGCATTTATAAGTGGTTATGCCGACGCAGAATGGTGAACACGTGTGCAAACTTTAGCATAAGTGGTTATGCCGACGCAGACCCCAAGTTCTTGGTACTAGGATAAATCTTCTTCTTCAAATACTCATGCTACGAGTTGCCCAAAAGGTAACAAGTTGACCAAGGCTGATTTTGCATGACATGCTTTATAGTAATGCTAATATTGCTTCCAGGCCCAGGAGCATCAATGTATATGCCACATATTACTGTTATAAAGTGCATGTAAAGAAATAAACAACACTTACATCTAAAATTAATCCACATTTGTTGTCCCAGTAAGAAAATCCTCAGTTTCCATTCACATCACATTGTTATGAACAGCAAAGTATTGATTAAATGTCAGACTTAAAATAAGAAATGATGTCTATTTCACCTGTCACTTGTCTCATAATCTATTTATAAATTGTTTCTCCCAAGTTCATTTAAGGTTACTCAGTACTTGTTGTTGTTCTTTTAAACCCAAACGCATACTCTCCAGACTCCAAAGTGTCATCATAGGTGACCACAAAATTGTCTGATTGTTTTATAAATGTTTTAAAGTTTTCAAATTCTGTTTCTGGTTTTATATCACAACCTGCTATATATACTGTCACTGTATGTGGTAATTTGTTTATAACAGTAATGAGATCATGTAACACTGAACAAGACATTGTTATATCCCGCAAGAGAACACGTTCAATATTGATCATTTGAGGTGACAGTGTTAATGATCTTTCACCTAGATTCATTCTCAACAACAAAACATCTTTCACATGATATAACAATGATAATGTTTGTAACATTGTTTCTATGTCACTGGAAGATTTTAGATAACCACACAAAAATGTTTGTAGTTTACCGGCTGCTGGTAGTTGACTGAGACAAGATGACACAACACCAGGATTATATAATTCACCTACCTCACAAACCTCTAACAACGATACATCCACGTTTAATTGTGACACACTTATATTGTACAATCCTAAACATCTTAGTTGTGAATGTTGAGACAGGTCAAGGTTGAATCCCCTACATGAAGTACTATGATCACTACAGTATAAATTGCTCAATGATATTTCTTTCATTGATTTTTTACTAGTGAGGAAATTTAACAATGTCTCCATTACCTCGTGGGTCATAGTGAAACAGTCTATACATAAACACTCCAGGTGTTGTAATTTTACCAGTTGTCCATTTATCTCTGCAGACAGCAGGCAATATTTTCCTACAAATTCATGATTTTCCCATTTACTTGATCTCACAGTTAAACATTTCAAAGGCTTCAATAACAAGCTCATTATTTCCTCTTCTACAATTTCACCAATATAGTATAATTTCTCTATATGTGGAAGGTCAGAGAGTATAAACAAACTGATAATTTTTTGTAGACTACAAACACCTTTATTTTCTATCATTATTGATTTTATGTTTTCTTTATTTTGGTGACACAGATGTTGTAATTGTTTGAAGTAGTTTTCTTGTTTACATTTTTCATTAATGAAGAAATCTTGTAAACACAATTTTAGGTCTTTGTTTTCCTGGCTTTCTTTGGAACAAGAAATGTACATGTCTTGTGTGTCTTGTAATGGCTTAATGTACATTTCTTCATAACCTGTCAAAGTTCTGTATTTGCTTGTTTTTTCATCATTGTTTATCACAGGCATCAAATCACTTGATATTGTAGACATTAATTTAGGGTTCATGTTAATAATAAAGACAAACACTTTTGACATGTCTAGAATATTTTGTAAACAGTTGCACTCTTCAAAAATGATTTGTTGAACTTCACTTGTATTTTGAAAACTTATAAATATTGCTGAAAAGTATTCCTGCACTGTTTTATGTGAAAATGAGATTTTAGAATTTTCATTTATTAATGTTTTTACTTTACTTTCTGATAATATTCCTGATAGACAGCTTGATTTCAAATCTTCTTGGTTAAGATATTTTTCTGCAACATTTTCATCAAAAACTAATGTGTGCTCTTTTTTCTTACTGAATAATGTATTAAAAGCTAGTTTCCCAATGGTCACCAGAAACGTGTAGTAACGACAGAAATGTTGATGTTTTCTGAAACATTCTGGAACATTACTAGGGGATGTTTCACATGATGAATGAAACATTCCATGTAACTTTTCTGTTCTAGATAGAAGGAGCTGTATAATGCCTGTATATAATTCTACTGCGGAATTTCCTATTGGAATTTTTGCAATCCATAAACATATAAGATATAGCAACAGGAGAGGGGTGGATTCCATATCATCAAGGTCATGGTTTCTAATTTCCTCTTCAAATCTACAAACTTCATTGATCAGTTTTTCTTCTTCAATGTTGCCTTTCAATATTTTCATTGCGTTTAGGTTAAACTGCCTTACATTTTGTTTATCTAGTTTAACTAGCTCCACTGTTTTGTCTACTTGATTAGTCTTCAAGTTTGAGACTCCAAGCTTCCATGGCCGGGTCGTTGTTAGGATTACACACTTTTCACGTGCATACCGATGCGGAATACTTTTTGGAAGTCTTGAACAATCGTTGTCAGGATGAAACCATTCATCAAGTCCATCTAGTAAAACAAGACATTTTTCATTGCGTAAAATGTCATTTAAAAGAGTTTTTGGTATTTCAGATTTACAACGAAGATTATTTATGATTTGGCTGTTCAATCATGTTGTCAACATCACATTCTGTATCTACGTCTCTCAATAGCACTAGAAATAAAAACTCAAAGCCAGATATTGCCTCCAATTCTTCTTTTTTAAAATGGTTATAATTTTCATCCATTTTATGAGATTGACACCATGTTATAGCGAGATATTTTGAAAATGCTGTTTTCCCAAATCCAGCGACCGCTGATAAATATATTTCCCTTGGAACTTTTCTACCCGATTTAAACAGGTCCTGTAACGACTTGACTCTAGTTGTTTCTTTCCTTCCACCTGGAAGATTCGTCTGTATGTCAATTTCTGGCATAATGTAGAACCCAGCTAGAGGGGTATGGAAATCATCTGTGAGTGGTGAAAGTGGAACTGTACTCTGATAGGTGTTGTACCATGCTATAAGTTCATCCTTCAGATCTGAAATAGAAATAATTGACATATTAGTATTGTTCATTCAGGTGATGAAATAAAAACAAACAAACACTGATATGATTAATTAATTATAAAGGTGTCAGTGTGTACATATATATCGTAATACATGCATATAAAATGCAATTAGCCTCACTAAAAAGAAAAGCCAACAAAAATCGTTCAGAAGCAAAATTTCAAAAAAGTTGTGTTTTTTTTAATTATTCCTTAAAATTACTTTATATTAGTTTCTAATAGAAATAGGACATACAAAAATGTTGAAATTGATACCAATTGTATTCGTCTGCATTTTTTAACTATTAAAAAAAGCAGACGAACACACTTTTTAATAATTTCACGGATTTATATAAATCCTTGATAATTTGTAGGAAATATTTTACTGAAAATCATACAAAATGTCTCAAATATACCTCTTTTACTGTTTCACTGAGCATCTCACTTCATATTTTACTCTATGCAATTTTTCTATAACAAAAAGTCAACTTTTGGTTGCCTCGGTCGTTACTAAATTTGAAATGCACTGACAACTGTAATGAACATTAAACTATAAATAGTAACCAGGTGTCATGGACTGGCAAAATATATCTATGGAGCGCCATAACTGCCTTATAGCCTGGGCACGGTACTTAACATTTATCAAAAAAATATATAATAATTATATAAAAATCATACATGAATGAGATTTCTCTTCTTTTTAATAAGTGATCCTTTTCCAAAACTGTCGAATTCTATTTCAAGATACATGTATTCAATAAAATTGTCTTTTATTTTTAAAACTATTTCTATTGTCAGCCATTTTGGCAATCGGAACATCCTCGGCTATAATCAATTATAACCTCGGAGTAAATTCGGATTGAAAGTAGTTATACCACGTTGTTTCAGATGTAAACAGAAACAGAGAGTGTTATCTTCATATTCTCTCTATTTTGACATCCAAAGAAAAATATAGTTTGTTTCGGTACAATAATGATTGAAAATATGTTTGAAAGCCATTTTGAATTTCAAAATGCCCACTGGGGTACAATTTAAACAAATCCGACTAAATGTCAACAGGTTGGTATTTTGTACTTTCGGTTTCTACAATCATAATAATAAATATATAAATAATGTATTGTTTGCATTTTGTTTCTATGAATTCACATATTTTAGGTGGACTTTTACTTAAGCTAGTGCTAGGGGCCTGCAATATTTTCAATTTTTGGGCCGTTTTTGGGGTTTTCTTTAGGGTTCTTTTTTCTCTCTTTTTACTCGATTTTGGGAAAAATTTTGTAAAAAAACCCCGGGGGACCCATTAAAAAATTTTTAAAATTTTAAATGTTTTTTTCGAAGAAAGAACAAAATGAGTTTTCCGTTCTGTGTATTCTACAATTGTTTTTCGAGGTTTACCCAAAGATTAACTTTTGCGTTTCCCCTTTGGGGGGGATTTCAGAGGTTACCCCGGGGCATCAGGGGGGTTCTTCCCAAAAAGGGCAAGATAAAACCAAGAGGGGTTTAAAAAATTTTAAAATTTAATGTGAAAAAAAATCCAAAAACAGTTAACGGGACTATAAAATTCAAGTTTTTACGAAAAAAGGGAATTTTCCCTATATTGGTTTTAATTACTTTTAGTAAAAAATTTAAAGGGATAGGGAAAGTCAAATATAAAGTTTTAACCCAAAGTTTTTTCTCCCCGAATTTTATTTTCAAAAAAATTTGGGAATTTATTGGCGTTGCGGGTGTTAGTTTTATTTTTGACATTTTTAAAAATTAATACCCCATTGCCCCCATTTTTTAAATTTTTCAAACGGGAAAGACGAGGCTTTTAAAAATTTGATATTACACGGGTTTTTGGTATTTACAAGGGCGGCCATCCGTCTATATAAAAAAAAAGGGGAAAAATTTTAAAAAGTCTAAAACCCTGATTTCATGGGGGAAAACCCGAGTTTTTATACATACTTTTAAATTTAGGTGGATCTTTTAGTTAAATTTGCCTGATTTGAAAAATTTAAAAAATTTACTGTTGTTTTTGGGGTTGTTGGTTGATGTTTTTGGGTAAAATTTGCTTTTTAAATTTAGTTTTATTTTTCTTTTTCTTTTTTTATTTTGTGCTTTTTTTTTTTTGATAAAATGGCAGGGGGGTCATTTTTATCCCATGGTTCATGCCATTTTGTTTAAGGTTTGATGTATTTTTTGATAGTTTTGTTTAAATTGGTTCCCGAGAAAGGGTTTTCCCGGGCTTTTAATCGGTTATCTTTTTGGTTAATTGTGGTAGATAGTGATTTTTAACTTTTTTAGATTGTTGCTGTGATTTTAAATATTGGTTCTTTTTTCTGTATATTTTTCCCAAATGCCTCCCCTTTCACCAAAACAAAGCTTAAGATTAAAAAAAACCCCATGACCATAAAGAAAAACAATTCCCATATCAAAACCCCCTTTCACTTTTATATTAAAAGGGACATCCCATCTTTTTTTAAAATTTCGATCACCTTTTTAAAAAATTTTTCAGCAAACATTATGTTTTATAACATCACCATCTATTCAAAACCGGACATCACCATATATGAAAACGATAGCACCATTATCCAAACGACAGCACCATATAACGATATATATATCACCATACGACCATAACGACATCATACATTAACAAAATCACAACATATTATCACTTTAGAATATGTATATAGGAGGCGGCTAGGGCGTTCCATAAATTTTTTATCTTTTTTGGAGGTTAGAAAGAATCTCGGCCGTGTATAATCTGGTTACGGTGACACAAAAGGGAAATGTGTGTGCGTTTTTTTATCTCATGAGCACCAGACACGATGTTGTGGCCACGAACTACTTACTCGTGGCCACTAGTTACTTAGTCGTAGGCAGGAGATAATTTAGTCGAGGGAACGTGATACTATGTCGTGGCCACGAGTTACTAAGTCTTTTTTTTACGGATAATTAAGTCGTGCGCACACGAGATAAATCAAAGCACAGAAGGCGCTGAATTTGTTTGGGTCTCAGAATGTAAGAAAGGTACAGGTTGTGAGATTATATGTATAGTGCCACCAATGCTTACCAGCGTTTAATTGTAGTTAAATTGGCTATTAAGACTGATTGCAACACTGATATTCAATCCAATGTTTATTTGACTTAAACAATTTGAAAAAAAAAATGCAGTTGCCTTTACTGGGATTTGAAACTCCCAGGCCACTCGCTTCCTAAGCTGAGCGTGAAAACCCTTCAGCCACGGTGAATTTATATGTGAAACGGCATGAAGAAAACCATTATTATTCGATCTAAAATTAGGGCTTGTAACGGACTTTTACTGTTGTTTAACACAGATGTAAATAATCCTGGAGCTTACTATAAGCATGTATATTTATGAAGAATCAAAGGGCTGCAAAGTTCTGTGGTATTTTCTGATCTTTGCAATCTAAACTCGTACTGTATATCTGTATGTATTTTCTATGGAAAACAGAATTAATGCATTTATTCCATCTTGCTTTATGATATCGGAACTTACATTATGCTTGCTTCTATACTTCTTTATGACAATGAAAACCTGCGTTTGCTGAATTCAATCATGCCTTATGATTACTGAATGCACTTTCAATGTAATTGCAACCTTGTGTGTTCCCTACTAAAACATCAAACTCACATATTTTAATATGCTATAATGTTTAATTGCATCTTTTTTTAAGGGCAACGTATTTTTTTTTGGGTGTTTAAGAAACATTCTTTTTAACATATATTAACAGGGTATTTGTATTTTTAAATTTGTATAAATCTGCCATTTTAATTTTGTCGACATTTGTAAAAATTAAACTTTTCTTTTGACCCAATAATTGGCTGATTTGATTTTGTTTTTTGCATTCCCTGTTTCCCAATTTTATTAAAGGGATTAAAATAAAATTTCAATACATGATCACTGCGATCAAAAACAAAGATGAAAGATAACGATATTAAAAGTCGCATGGGGCCCGTACGCACTAAAATTTGGCAGAAACCCATAATGCTTTTTTGAATAATTTTTTTTTCATTTTTTTATGACAGCAGGGTCGCTTTGTCGGTACATCCGTTTTTTTCCCGGATGACCCCTTTATTTTGGCAAAGTTAGGGCCCACTTTTATAGGGGCGTATACAGAACAGTGTTAGTTGGAGACTGACATGTAAATTTACTGAAAAAACATGAGAACACGATGCGACAGACGAAAATTGCGTGTTTTTTGAAGATTCCGCCAGCATGTGGAAAAAAAAGTTATATATGTCTCTAATAACTCATCCTAAAAGTGGCAACTCACCTCTTATACAATTGTTTACACTTCTTTTGAGCGTGTGTGATAAGTGAAAATGAATTTTATAAAACTTAAGGTGGCACAAAGGTGACATGTGTGTGTTTTTATTTATCTCCCCGTGCGCACGAGATACTGTGTCTGGCCACGGGTTATACTAAGTCGTGGCCACGAGATAGTTAAGTCGTGGGAACGAGATACTATGTTGTGGCCACGAGTTACTAAGTCGTGGCAACCAGGGTAATTAAGTCGTGGGAGCGAGATAACTTAGTCGTGGCCACGAGTTACTAAGTCGTGGCCACGAGATAAATAAGTCGTTGGAACAAGTAACTATGTCGTGGCCATGAGAAAGTTTAGTCGTGGCCACGAGAAAGTTAAGTCGTGCGAACGAGATAAATAACCAATCAAATTACACTATTTATATGAATTTTCCTAACAAGGATGCCCCTACTTTCACTTGCCCCGTAAAAAGTGCCATTTATACAAGTTATTGATTGGTCAAAGATTTAGCGTCACTGTGACCCTGATTTTCTGACCAAATTTGCCTAAACAATTATTAGTGTCATCTACTGATCTTTTTTAGGTTATATAAAACTACGGCTTATTCTTTCTAAATTATTCATCAAACAAGGATTTTACATGAAGTGTCATGTTTATTCTGACCTGTGACCTCAAAACATCCTTATAGGAATATCTGCTGTTCCATGGGCAATGTCCCTTCCCAGGACTAAAGTCCCTCTCAAGTATACTAGTAAACAATGTTAACAGGCCTTTGTACGTACAAAATGACCCATTCATCATTAGAAATTGTCCCAACAAAGGGCCTATAACTTAGTCAAAATTAATGTCTGATTTATGGGCCATAAATGATTCTAAAGACATGTATTTAAGTTCAAAGTGAACACTTTCAGTATTTTCAAAGATTAATGTTGCACGTTAAATCTTTAAACAGAAATTTTCTAAGTTTAAAAACTCATGGTGTAATCTTATTTAATTATCTCGTCTGCACGACTTAGATATCTCGTTCCCACGAACTTAAAACGACTTAGTAACTCGTGGCCGTGACATAGTATCTCGTGGCTACGATATAGTATCTCGTTCCCACGACTTAACTATCTTCGTGGCCACGACTTAGTAACTCGTGGCCACGACTTAGTAACTCGTGGCCACGAAACAGTATCTCGTGCGCACGAGATAAATAAAAACACACACATGTCATTTAGTAACTCGTGGCCACGACTTAGTACAGTACAAACTTGATTTTTTTTTTTTTGTAAAATAAAATAAATATAATTTTGCTTCACACAAACATTGTGCTTTAAATTAATTTACGCCTGTAAGTGGGCAGTATGAATATTCATGTATAGTGTTATTACAAAAAATATATATAGAAGTTATTTAAATAAAACATATTTAGTAAGAATTTTATAGATTTCAATAAATTTCTGTGGTAAAAATATATTACTGAAGCACAAATGTATGTGAATGTGGTTGTGTGTGCGGTTGTCTGATCTATAATCAGACACACATATGCCCAACATTTGTAATTGACTATGCACATGTCACAAAAATAAACAACTTCCTTCTTTTCCCTATTATACATGTATATTTTAATGTGTTACACACCTATTTGCCAACTATTAGTGACTCTGAGACCATTTATTAAGTTAAAAGGCCAATTAATACGTTTTGCTTTTAATGTCCAAGTCATTAGATTTAAAGACCTTCGCAATCGCAGTACCTAGGCAGGTGCTTAACAACTGGATGACAGCATCAAGTTATATGTTTTTGATAAGGAGTACACTATGACCACTATTGCATGAAACTTTACACGTATATATTCCATCCCAGCTCATCAACGTATCTTTAGGGGTAGGTGCAGCCCTTAAGCAAAGCCTGAATCCGCCACTGTACGTATAACTGCCCCTTTGAATAACTGTTTACGAGCATATTTTTTTCTATTAGACTGTATACATATACATGTATAAAATTATATTACATAATCCTTACAACTTGTATTTATATTCTTTCCACACTGCAATTTATGTATTAAGGGCTTGGTACGTATTTGATAGCATTGTCGCCCTCTGTATTTTAACGTATAACCACGATGGCCCTAACGGTATTCCGTAATATATACATGTACGGAAAATTCCGATGATAGGCGGAATCATGGAAAAAAATCCGTTGATATCGATAACAGAGTTTCTCGCCCCCTTAACAGTTCACAAATCGCTAGACATTGTTTAAATTGTTTATCATAATGTAAGATGATCAAACATAATCCACAAAAGCCTCAGACACCGAGCTTTATTAAGCATAAACACTGAATAATGGATATAAAAGCGAAAGCTAATAGTAATCACGCCATGCGAAGCTGTAAATCAAATAAGTCACATTTTTAACAAAATCCATCAGGGAACAAAAAATAGTCAATTTTAAATGACTTCTACATAAAAGTAATACAAAAAAACTAAACCGTAAAAGTTTGTTATAGAAGCATGAAGAAAGGTAGCTTATACATAAGGTATAAGACGTTAACATTTTAGTATTCCAAATGGCCTGTTCCAGTTTAATAGTTTATCACTCAATTTGAAAGAATTTGGTCACTACGAAATGTTTGAATGAAAATAATGAAAAATGGAATCCAGAATAATGCAACGTTTAAATATCCTCCCCTCCCCCCTTTTTTTTAAATGCCAAGATGGAATCCCAATCTAATGCAGAGTTCATAATGTCATGTAGCAAGATTGAATTAAGGGCATATGCAATTCCCAAATGTCATTCAAGCAAGATGGAATCAAGCATAATGCAAGTTCCCAATGTCATTCAGCAAGGGATGGAATTAAGAATATGCAAAGTTTTCAATGTCATCAAGCAAGATTAGAATAAATCATTAATTCTGTTTCCAAATTTTTTCCTGTATAAGATTTATTTTTATGTATTATAATTCATTTTGCTGGGCACCCAGAGTTTGAACATACGGAATTTCTAAATAACTTAGAGTTGCATCAAAAATCATTTTATGTTCATTTTTTACGACAGCCACACTTTATCCTTGCATATCATGGCTACTTCCTTTTAACAAAGACACTTAAAAAGAATTAAAAAAAAAAAGTTTCCTCGACTGGGATTTGAACTCTAGACCTCTCACTCACTAAGCGAGCGCGTTACCCCTGCACCACGGAGAAGTTATACAAAACAACCGACTGAATAACATCAAGTCATTCTAAAATTTAGAACTTCCATTGTATTTCGGGTTTGGTAATCCTTATTAACTTCGAAGTTATTTTGTTCAGGATAAACCTGTTGTTTAAAATTGAAGTAAATTGAATTTAGCGAAAATCTTCTCGCATGTAGAATCTATATATTCCACTCCTCGGTTTGTGTATATGTATTCGTAATCGACATCGCTAAAAATAGTATTTTCATTGATAAAAATCATATTCATCCGCGTAATTTGTGATTGTGCATTATTTGACAATTCTATAAGCCAACGCTATTTTTTAAACTTTGAATTTGCGTTGTAATTTGTTGGATACTTTGTAAAAAAATAAAAATATTTTCTTTCTTTTAAATCGCTAGTTTAAAGCTGTTTTGAGAAATTATTTGTTTTTTAGGTTTTGTCGTAAACTTCTGTGTCAGAGATTTGAATGTCCGCTTTTGTTTAACTTTATTTTCGATCAGGAAAATACAATAAAACAATATTAGAAATATTCGACCATTCGGGAAATTATTTTGCTTGAATATAGATTTGCCTGTTCTTTGGACCATCTTTAAACGTCAGTGATCTCCCTTGAATTTTTCGGGCGTTAGTGTTACATATAAAGGGAAAAGTAACCGCTTTCAAAAAAGTGGACTACTTTCGGCATTTGCAATTAACAGCATTAGACTCTGAAATTTCGCTACCATTATTTGTTTGGTCTGACGACCCAAACAAATAAAAACCAATCAGATTACACGATTTATATAAATTTTCCTAGTGCTATAGCCGGTGCTTGGGGGGGTGAGAGATGTTGCACTTATTCATTATCCCTCATGTGCAGACTCAATCATACCGAGTCTGCATTTTTCATGTAATTCTGTTGTGATTAATGCTTCCGGGGGATCACTTTGTTTTCAAAATTTTTATACTTCACAACAGCAGGTGTCAAGTGCTGTGTGGCAGCTGTAAAAAGTTGCCCCGTAATTTACTTCAGTGTTGTTATATTTTTCTGGTCCTTCGGGATCATTGATGCCAGAACTATTAAGTGTTGAGAAATGAGTACAGCTCAAGCCGGTGCTGGGGGGCGTGAGGGATTTGTTTGCACTTACTCATTATCCCCATGTTACAGACTTACAATCAAAAACCGAGTCTGCTTTTTTCTTTATTACGTTGCTGATCAATGTTTCCCCGGGGGCCCCATTTTTTCCCAGTTTTTTATTTATTTTTATCCCCCGGGACTTAGTATTTTGGGGCCACGAATAGTTTTCTTTGCCCGGGTTTAAAAATCATCTGGGGCCCACGACTTAGTAACCCCCGTGCCCAACGAAAAAAGTTCTCGGCACAGTATATGATAAAAACCCACATACACAAAAGTCATTCAAATTTGTCCCAACCGTATTGGTTAATCGTTGTGCGAAATTTTTAAAGTTGTAAAATTGATGAAAAAAAGGAAAAAAGCCTTTAAATAAATATTTTGTTAAAAGCAAATTACCCCATTGCTTTTTGGAGTTTTTCTCTTTTTCCAACAAACAAAATCCCAATTACTTAAAAGTTACTGAGGGAAATGGGGAATTTTTCTACGATCTAAATGCAGTATATGACCCAAACTATTACGGTTATGTTGCCACTGTACAGTTCAGATAAAGCAACAACTACAGGACAGGGTGCTCAAGGCCGTGCTGTTAAGTGTATGCCTTCGAGCCACTTGTCGTTCATCCAGAAAGTTCGAATACCGCCAGGGACTTTGGATTCTTTCACAAGACAAGCTATCCAACTAGCTTTTGATACGTCGATGATTCTACTAAGGTGCCCGCTTGTGCCTGAAATAATGCGCACAGGGACACGTGAGGTCCCATGTAGCAGTAAAGCAGAAAACTCGCCATATGACATTTAAAGTTTCGATGTGACTTTAAAAGCAACCCTAAGAAGATAAACAACTGCTGTGGATATGTTACAAATATGTTACTAGTATGGTACAATACCGTTTGAATCAATTACAACTAGAACTGCCATTCCCATGGCGTGAGTATCCCCGCATACCGCTTTGGCAGAATCAACAGTGGTCATTTAGAGCTTAAGGAAAACCCCCCTGCCAAATCTGAGGTTAGTAAGCCAGTGCATTGCTAAGTGATGTATTCTACATGATTTTAGTGGCAAAGATCAGAGTTACCTTTGCCTTTGACTGCATGACTTGAATACCCCATTCATACAGCTTTGCCTTGGGGTGTTTTATAATAAATATATGAGAACATAATTATATGCTTCAAATGTGGAAAAAAGTCAAAATCAATACACTCACTGTGGACAAGCATTTTTAAGCATTTGAGCAGACTAGCTTATAGTTGTAAAGGCCCCGTGACCTCGGCCTTTGTCACCCAGTGACTTCGAAATCAATAGGGATCACCTAATGTTCTTGATCAACCTCCATGCCAAAATGAAGACTATGGGTTTAAGGTTTCTTAAGATATTAGGCAGAAAAGTCAATGCCCTTGTGATCTTAACCTTTGACCCAGTGACCTCAAAATCAATTGGAGTCCCCGTGTTTGAGTAATTCTATGAAACTTTACGTCCCTCGATTTATTTGTCAAAAGGAAGGGCTATATTAATTAGGACAACACAAACAGGAATTGAATATTAACATTAATGAATAATAAACCTTAATTTATAACAAATCCGTGGTATTCGACTGTTACCACTATCACATGTATTAAACTCATTACCAACAAACAAATAATCTAATAAATTTTAATAGAATATATATATATATATTTCACATGATACTTGTATTGATTTTAAATAAATTAAATTTTTATCAATTATGATTAAACATCCATTATATATTTAGCCTTTCTAATTTATTCTATATTGTTGAAGACAGCACTCTAGACTAATCAAATACTGGACGCAGTAAAGGAAGATCTTTTATGATATGAATCAAAGTATGTAAAGTTTTTAAGTATATAATGAGAAAACTACGGTGACACAAAGGTGACATAAATTTTCTTTTATCTCGTGCGCACGTGTTACTGAGTCAGCGCATTAGATAATTAGGTGGTGCACGCGAGATACTAAGTTGTGTGCACGAGTCATTAAGTGGATTGGCACGTGTTACTAATCGTGGGCACAACCTACTATGTTGGTGTGCACGGGGATATACACATATCGTAACGAAATTACTGCATTTAATCACACTTAAGGCTTTAACAGAGAGCTGGATTTCCAAAGTTAATGCCACCCAAAAGACAGTAATTCTGGGTTGATATAAAGCGGTAAATACCTAAAACGTGAATTGATGTTTATAACAGATATACAAAAATATGCAGTACTTATTATCCAATGATCATAAAAGCGCATTCAAAATACAAAAGTTCTCTGTCCAAGCACGGATTTATATTATAATAATAATAATTGTAATTAAGATCAATGGTTTGTGGTATCATTGGACGACATTTTCATCAGTACTTTAAATTGATAAAGCAATGTTACTATTAAAAATAAGCTTTCTGGAAAAATTGCACCAGAGTTTTTGAAAACCTTGTCTTTGATGAGGTTGATGATAAGAAACATACGTTTGAAACTTGAAGTAAATTCCTCATAAAATAAAGAAGTTAAAGTAAAATTTTAGGAAAGTTCGAGGGGAGATAATTCATTTGTTCATTTCGATTCAACTGCTGTTCATTTTGATGGAACTGCCGTTCAGTCGGGTAATTTCAAAATTACATCTGTCACATCTCTGTTGTTCCTCACTTGCAGTTACTCCGAAATAACATATTTACTTATTATTTTTCCAATAATTAAAATGACAGCTTTGTTCCTTTAAGAGTTATCAAGGAGGGGGTATGAAAAAATGTTATCACAATCATATATGTACTCTTTAAGCGCATGTTACATAAACAGGACTGTGGTTAGATTGTTTGTGTTGATTATTATCATATATTTAGCTGTAACCACCATCTTGATCAGCAGAACGAAACCATTTGAGCAACTAATTAAAGTGTACCTGAAAAAATCTACGCGATAGTTAAAGAAAAAATGTCATTTATATTTAATTTTATTTTTCGTTATGGCGGCCATATTGATCAACAGACCAAAACTGTGATCATTGTTTTATAGAAATCTATCCAAGGATCATTGCAATAGAGTTTTTCAAAATAATTTAGGAGTAGATCTCGTTTAAAGCCCCTGGACCTCAAGATGATAAATGAAAAAAAAAAAATCAAGTAAAAGGTTAATACTGGTCTGGTTAGGTTTAATGTGTAATCTATTATTACTGACATCTTAATTGAAGAAAGAATTTGGACAAAAGCGGCACTATAATTATTGTGTTTCTTCTTTGCATTATCTACTGCGTAGCCAGTATAATTACGAAAAGTTAATTCATTCAACAATTGACGGGAATCCGGTACGCTCGGTGTAGTATATTAATGTTCCTTCATGAGAAGGCCCTAGTGATATTTAAAGTTTAAATGGATATGGTATAATTAATCAACTATAATTCTGAGTACAAGAAATTACTACAAATATCAAAACGAAAGCAGTTTATTTGTTTCCCTCTATGTTTGATACGATCTCGAATTCTGTGCGTTCCGGTAACAAGCCGTGATTCTGTCCTGGTACTAAAAAGAAACCCAGATGAATGAATTCCGTAGTTAAATAGTAAACAAGAAGGTATATCCCGTTTGGCAGAAAAGCTAACTAATTGTTTTCAGGGCAAAAATGTTAAACTATGATCATTTGGAAGTGTCATTTTAATATATTAGCAAGACGGTATTTGTTTCTCTTCTGGAGGCCTGCTGCTTTAAAGGTTTTTCTTTATTTAACAGGCGGCCATCTCATTCAGTAGACGTAAACAATTTTAAAAATAAGAAAAAGACTAGTTTCTGTTCGTTTGTTCAACGGACCGGAACCACTTGAGCAATTGCTTAAAGACTGTGAATCGGGCTAGTCGGGAACGATTCCCTCACTGTGCAGGTCACTTTCTTTGTGATTGATTATGAAATCATTTCGATGGTTATTCAATAGTTATCAGTTCCTTGCGAAAGTAATAGCAACTACTATCAGAAAACTGCTTAAAGGCCTGTCCAGGAACGATGCAATGGTTGAACTGTTCTTTGATTTGAGGTAAAATTATCAACACTACCACGACCATTGCTGTATAGTTCATCAAAATATAACAAAAACTATTGTTTTGCTATGCAACATAACATTAAAGGAACTAAAAACAGTGTTGCTTTTTTTCTTTACTTAAAGTTTTAAAAGTTTCAATATTTTGTTATTTCTCGTCGAATATCTGGGTCTTTAATGTACAAATACTGATCTTGGCTTCTAAAGTACAAATATTGATAGAGGGGTCGAAATGTCTTAACCACTAGATGTCGGAAAGTCATTTAAAAAGTGGTAGGGGTGTCAAGGGGTCTAGAAGTCATCTTATTATCCTAAAAGTCGAGAAGTCAAGGGGTCTAATTAAGTGTCTTACTTGCCTACAAGATGATGCTTCATCAAAATATCTTAACTCAGAGAAGATGATTTATTATTTAAGTATATGTAAACTAAGCAACACCTCTAAATAAAGGTGGGATATTTGAACCCCAGGGATATGACGTACATAACACTTATAGATGTCCACTAGGCGGTGCTACATGCCAAATATGTAAGCTATGGAATTATAGTTGCACAAACGATGACTTAAATGGTTTATGTGTTCACTTACTATATCAGTTAGGTGAACCCTTATGGAGGCAAATAAATATTTTTTCATCAAATGAGCATGATTTATATATCCTTTGTTAATGACCACAAGGCGATGATACATGTCACATATCTACGAACGGGGTATTACTGTTTCTGAGAACAAGTTTTTTAATGATCATATTTGAAGTCTATTTTTATCTATTGCAACCTACTAATGCACCAGACTGAAACCGTTTATACCACTTTTTAGGACGACCTAAGAATCATATTTGGTCAAAATCCATCAAGTTGTTTCGAAGGAGTTGTTGTTTTACGAAAATGTTGACATCGACAAAAGGCGGACACACTGTCATCACAATTTTAACTCACTTTTGAGCGCATTGTGCTACATTAATCTAAAACAACAAGCTCATTTCATCCAGAACACGTTATCAGTAGCAGATAAATGACGCATTAAAATTTAAAAAAGTGTAGGAATAAGACGGACAGTATCGTAGGGGGAATGGTTAGTATAATCGTGATCGGGAGATTTCATATTGACCTGTTATTTGGTAAAAAGACATTTTTAATTTTATTAATTTTATTTATTTATTTTTTGAAACAAAATAGCGACTTTCACTCTTTAAATTCCTATCAACGCTTTCGTATTGGCAAAAGTACGTACATTGACCTTCGGCTTCCTTTTCTGCATTTGCCCTGTTTCCCTCGTATTGACATTGGTTATCTTATATTAGCATACTGGCTACAATAGTATGGTACACAACAATGATTTACGATTTTTTCACAACTAGTTTTTCAGGGAAAACAAATTGAATTAAAGACGAAAAATGTCGAACAACACATGCCACCCCCCTTTTAGCCCTTGACTGATACTATTTTTGCTATGGAAACATGCTATAAATGGATACATGGACGTATTATGTAATGGAAAAGAAAATATGACAAATATATGACCTGAAACTGAAAGAAAGCTGTCATTGTTGAAGGGTAGCTGGACTAAAATATGTATTATCATATAAATGTAACAATTCTGACATTTAAGACCCCTGTGACCTTGACATTTGACCCTAAAATCAATAAGGGTCATAAATTCATAATCACACCAATCTATATGTGAAATATGAAGAGTTTGTGATAAATAGTTTTAAGATAATTAGCCGAAACCATTCTGACATTTAATGCACCTGTGACCTTGACCTTTGATATTGTGACCACAAAGTCAATAGGGGTCATCTACAAGTAATGACCAATCAGTATGTGAAATATGAAGACTTTGTGATATATAGTTTTTAAGATAACCAGCGGAAAACCATTTCTGATATTTATATGAAGGCCCCTTCTTATACAGACCTTGACCTTTGACCTAGTAACCCCAA